GGAAAATCGGTCCCTCGGCTTATACTCGGGTCGACTTATACTCGAGTATATACGGTACTCTTTCTGAGGCCATCATAACTTTGAACAGTCCTTAAACAACTGGTCATAAGTCAAGGACTACCTGTAATGATTTTTTAAAAAAATAATATGGTACAAGAACCTTAGAAGATTTTCAAGATCTTGGAAAAGTTTCAGACACACATTTTATGATTTGATCACAGCTCTCACTTTGGGGGCTTTTTTGAGTGTTTTGACATCTGAAGTGAAAACTAACATATTGAGATTATTAGAATAGTCAAAATTAGATTCTATTATCTCTAAGGACTTGAAATGGTCACCTAACATTAGAACCATTATTAAAAAGGCACAGCAAAGAATGTTCTTCCTGTGCCAACTCAGGTTGAAAAATAGTTTTTAACCCAGAGCTGTAACCCTATTAAATACCACAGTATACTGCAACATTGAACTGCAATATTAGGGGCAGCGCAATGGTGAATAGAATGTGAAGGATGTGTGTATATAATGTATGTTCTTATCCATTACTTATGTGCAGTGTGCCCTGTGGACAGCACTTAATTTTGTTGTGAGTTACACAATGACAATAAAGATATTCCATTCCATTCCATTCCATTGCATTGCTCAGACTGTCCAAGGAGCTGCTGAATCAGATACAGTTCTACAGAGGAATTAATCAGTTTGTCATTTGTACTCCAATAACTGTCTGATTTGGCAAAGCAACCAAACAGGACAGGTACAGACTTCAACAAATAGTTAGGACTGCAGAAAAAACAATCGCAACCTGCCTGCCTTCCATTGAGGACCTGTATATTACACAAATCAAAAGGAGGGCTGAGAAAATATATCTGTTTCAACTTCTCCCCTCAGGATGCCACTATAGAGCCTTGCACGCCAAAACAACCAGACATATAGTTTTTCCCCCCGTGCCATCACTCTGCTGAACATTTAATTCCCACAGCACTGTCTCACTTCTCATTTTTCCTTATCTTCTCATCTTTCTTACTATCTTCTCCTATTGGTTTCTTATGATTTATCAATTGTTGTTTGAAACTTATGATTAATGACTGTAACTATAATTTATTACCTATGACCTATTACTTGCTGTTTACATGTACACTGTGAGCTTACACACCAGAGACAAATTCCTTGTGTGTCCAATCACACTTGGCCAATAAAGAATTCTATTCTATTCTAGTCAAAATTAAGCTAGGATTTTGTATGCTTCACCAATGTCCAATGTTAATAAATATTTCAGTATTCCCAAATTCTTTGAGAATTGGAAATACTTTTGATATAATTATAAATAACATACAATATATATTCCATATATTCTTAGTTTATTACATTTGAAATCAAATGTTCAGGCTTGGGTTGCAGTCATAAACATTCTTACCAGGTCTCATTAAAACAATGAATTTTGGCTCTAAATCATGATGAATAGCCTTACATTTTATATTTCTATGTTTTTATTATTATTGTTATAGAGTAGCATATACAAGAAGCAACAAGGAATCTATAGGAAGAGTAAGTGTTTTAAAACAGGGATCCCCAACCTTTCTGGGTTGGTGGCACGGTGGGAAAGGGAGGGGTAGGCACTTTTATGCGTGCCTGCACACACATCCAAATATGGCTGCGTGCACGTGCATGCGAATGGGGCTACGAGTATGCACGCTCTGCAAATGTGGCTGCTAGCGCTGCAGCGAGGCTAGTGCAGGAGCGAGGCTCGCAGCGAGGCTAGCATGGACGCAAGTGGCATGCGCACTGGCCAGCCACTCACAAGGCCTGGTGGCCAAGAGGCCATGGCCTGGTAGTGGGCCCCAGCCCATAGGTTGGGGATCTATGCTGGACAATATAGGTAATCCTCATGTAACGACCAGTTGCTTAACAACTGTTCAAAGTTACAATAACCTCCAAAAGGCTACTCATGACCTGTCCTCAAAGTTATGACTGCTACACACAAACACATTAACACATACACACACACAACAGTCACATGATTGCATTTTGGGTACTTGGCAACCAGCTAGCATTTATGACCAGTTGTAGTGTCCTGTGGTCACATGACCACAATTTGTGATCTTTTTTTGCTGTTTTTTTGCAAAACAATGCCCATTTGGGAGAATGAATTTGCTTAACTACTGCTTAATGACGGTGGTGAATTTATGATGGTTTAAGACCATCATAAAACAGTAATAAAATTGAGCCATGCCACATGGTAACCTGCGTCAAACCACAACAACTTATGATCAAAATTCCAGACTCAATTGTTTCCATTAATAAGGACTACATGTATTCATTGCTGTGGCCTCACAGTTGCTAGACAAAATTTGCAATATTTTGGGTAACAATAACTTCATGGTATATCAGAAAAAAATTAATGTGCTGTTTAACATCTCTACCTAGGAACTCTTTTATGAGGGATCTAATTAAATCCCCATATAAATTACAGTATAGGTAGTCCTTACTAAGTGACAATTGGCAATGGCAACTTGGTCATTAAGCAAAGCAATCACTATGTAAAACCACAATTGTGCTTATAAACTTCCTCTACCTTTCCTTAGCTTTATGCTGTGAAAATTTTAAAGGTGAGGATTAGCCATAAAATTACTTTTTCATCATCATAATTGTGAATAGTCTATTGTAAGAACTACATGTACGGAACAACATGTCCCGCATTATCATGTGGGAGTCAGACAGGTAGACGTGTTCAAAGTACAGAAGTTTTTGGTATCCACTGTCAGTGACTACCAACAACAATATATCAAATTTAGTTAGAGCAATTGTTCTGTGATAGCAGTAACTTGTTAGAGATTAGCAGAAATTAGTTGACATGATACTGAAGACTCCAAGCTTTATGCTGCCTTGGTTATATGAATATTATTTATATCTTTCTGCTCCTTGATCATACATCAATTAAATGTCATATAATATAAAAATGCTTGAAAATTTTGTAATTCAATATGTTCCCCAAAATCTGCTTATTTACTAATCACAAAGTTATAAAAACAAACTGGACTAATACATCTTCAAGTAATAATTCTGAAAAGAGAAAGTCTAATTATAAGTCTGTTGGCACAATTAATTTGGTCTTATTTTCAGTGATTAATATTGTCAGAAATTTAGATGAAGTGGAAAACTCCAAGTGTGGCTTTATAAATATAAAATTTCATGTCTCAACTGTATTGGAACACACCCATCAGGAAAAGCAGAATAAGCCCAAATCTATGTTGTCTTTTGACAGCCAATTGATTTTAGGAAGATCATAATAACTATCTCTTCTCCTCTACTGTTGATTTCAATAGCTTGACTGAAACAGATTGTTCCTGAAAGACTAGAGTAGTTGCATCCTTAACTACGGTAGTTTTTCTTAATGTGGGACTGGAAATCTACTTCGTGGTTTTAAATATCAACATCAAAACTTTTAAGTAATTGAAATATTTTCTACTGGTGGGTAAATTTCACAATGCACAGAGCCAAGCTCCAGGAAATCTTTGTAGCAGCTTAATATTCAACTATCTCAGATGGCTCCGGATTTACATCTATCATATATAAAGTAAATCAGATTTATTAGGCAATGAAATTATCTAATGTATCCTTGAAAGATCACAGTGAAGGGTTATATCAATGACCTCCAGCTCCTGCTCACCTTGGCGTCACTACCCACACCGTCCACCGCCGCCGCGGCAAAGCCGAGGCCGGAACCCGGGCAGCCGCGGAAAGCGAATTCTTCAAGCTCACGGAGGAGACGCTGTTGCTGTCCTGGCCCGGCACGCGCCACTTGCCGGAGCCGGAACTGGACTTGTGCGAAGTGCGAAGCCAAAGCTAGGAGCGCCGAGTGAAGGCGGCGGCGTTCCGCCCTAAGTGCCCGCGGAGATCCTGGTTCGGTTTCTATTTCCTCCCCTACTTCTTCCTCTCCAGCCTGGACCTCGGCTACCGCGCCCACCGGTGCCCAGCGCTCCCCAGGACTCGCCACAGTCTCCATTGCCGCCGCTAACTACTAAAATGTCAACGGGGAACCGGGCCGGCAAAATGAAACGTCATTTCCGGTCCTGTGAGACGCGACAGAGAAAATCGTCATGCGGAAGTAGATGTGGCCTTCGGTTCTTTTTAACACGCGCAGAGCGTACAGTGGCGTCATGTCTGCGTTCTTATGTTGTACGTTCCATGATTGACTAGAGGGGGCGAGGTTATTTAAATCAGTTTTCTGGATTTGCACGACACTTTTAAATATAAGTTAAGCAAGAGGTTTGAGTTCGCACAACACGTTTGATTAAACAATTTGATTAAACCAAAGTTTAATTTATTTAAGTTCTAAAACTTAAGCGGCTCAGTTTGAAATCTGAACGCCGAGTAGAAAAGAAAAGAGCAGAGCTATTTTAGTAAAAAGGATACATACTTCAGCTGAGATTAACTAGAATTTTCTTAAGTACATAATATATAATACTGATTATTTCGAAGGAAGGGAGTGGCCTTATATACCGAGAATTAAAAGTTATGCTGCAATTATATCATGTATAGAATTCAGACCAATTATACTTGCAGAACAATCTGACACTTATTTGGAAATTTCTTTTTCAAAGAAGCTTTCTTCAAGCATATTTAAAATGTTAGAAGTTGCAACTTGATGTGTTTCTATAATGAAATGAAGAATTAATTTACTGAGCAGAAATCTTGAACGTAATGCCTTTAAGCAAACGTGCCTTATCTTGAAAACAAATGTACACCGGTCCTCAAAAGTTTCTGCCAAAATATGAAAAATAACTACTCTTAAATTAGCGTATTAAAACTGACTTACCCAAGGAAGTTTTTGTTTCAACTGAACTATAAGGATCAAAGTGACTACACTACCTACTTAAAATAGATACATGGCACCCATGATATATTGTGGAATGTGTCAGGACATTTCTGGAAACGAGAGCTGGGCAGCAACCACTGGGGCGGGGAAGCTTCTGAATTTAGCTCCGCCTGGCCCAAGGGGATCAAATGAGCCTGTCTGTCTGACAGGGCAGGGAAGCTGAGGGACAGAGATCATACGGTAGTAAACGGCAGCCATCATGGCAAGGTGAGTGCTTGTGGTTTGGTGACAGCTTTCCGATAGGAATTGTTCTGTCTTTCAGAGGATCTGACTTCTGGAATCCCCTCAAAATAGAATAAAAATGCTTGGGCAGGAAGCCTACTTCCTCACTTCTCTAATATTCACTGTATTAAAATATATTTGTGCCAGCACCTGTAAACATTCAACTGATTAAAGCTTTTCAATTACATTACATTGTGTGATCCTCTTAGTATCCTCTTCCAAACTGAGTAGACAGAAATAACTCTGATATGTTACAGAATAGCAAGCAGATCTCTCTGTTCAATTATCGATTCAATCTAACATTCCTGTCAGAATAATTTGGGGTTCCAACTCAAACAGGCTGCGCTAGAATAAATAAAAAGGAGATACAGGCAGGTGTGAGAAAAGAAATATTTATTCCTAAAAGTAAAACAGTTTGCATTTAGGGACAAACTGCAGAAAAATGAGGTACAGTTACAGATTTTTGTAGGGGGAACTTGTCTGAGGTGTCAGGTGCTGATTCTAGGGGCGTATGTGCATGTGTGTGTAGATATGTTTTTCTTGTGAATATGCAGTTCCTCTGGGAGACAGAATTTAATTAACTCTGTGCTTGCAGACATCCTTTGATATGTGGATTAGGTCTGGGTAATTTATGTGGGGGTTTGCTAATTTTAGTTGATTAACTTAGTTCAGCTTGACTGTCAATTATTTAGTGGAGACACTGATTCTCAGACCATTGTGGATTCGGTTAATATTTTAAGGGAAGATGGAAACAGTATAAGGAATAAAATATATTTGGATATAAAATTTCTCACAATTGTCCCCTTGTACGCATACACACATATATATGTATATATATGCACACTAGTAATGGGTGTAGTTTATAACCATACCTTTTGTCTATTTGTAACATTATAAGGGAAACATCTTTAGGAAGAGGGGTTCATTAATTAACATTGTTAGAAAAAAAGCAATTATGTAAAGCTTCAAACTATGCAATCCTATATTTTATGGACTGAGAAATCCATAAGGAAAGGGGAGGAAAATAATTTGAAAGGGTCAGTACCAGGCCAATTATCCCAACAAGTGATAACCCTCACAATCTACCATGCCCAGTCTTCCTCAAGTTTTTCCTGGAGTTTCACTTGATGGGGATTCATTTAAGGTCTTGTTTTGCCAATATGCATTGTGGATACATGGTACATTAATAATAATTGCATCTATTAGAACATGCCAATAATTACAAGCATACAAATGAATATCCATTTTTTCCTACTTGTTCCATGAGTTCCAGTATAAATAAACCCAATCAATTTTATTGTTATTCTGTAATGACAGTCTGGTTGATTGGTCTTGGCACTGTGGTGATCAGCAGAAAGAGATTCAGTAGAACATCAAGCAGGCAGTTTGGTTGATGAAGGCTAACCAAGTCTGATGCTGTTTAATTTTCAGTAACTTGGAGAACTCTTCCTGAAGTGACGGCAGTTTCTCCTATTGAAGTCTACTGAATCAAAAGACAATTGTTAGCAATATTGTGGGGGAGCCAGGGTTCCATTAACACTCACCATACATCTATACCCACTAGTGAGTGCGCCTGTGCATACGCATCCTCACTTGTGCAAATGGCAGATGCTTGTGCACACCGCTCGCACAAATGGAGCTGTGCGCGTTTGCCAGCTGCTTGTGTGAACTATCCCCTTCTGCCCCACCGGTCTGCAAAGCGAGAAACAGGGAACTCTGGATTAGGCAATAACAGTTGGGAAAGCAAAAATATGCCTTTTTCCTATGGCTAAGAGAAAATGACTTGCCCAAAGTCATTCAGTCCACTTTCATGGCTAAGATAGGACTTGAACTCACATTCTTCTACTTTCTAGCTTGATGCCTTCACCATTGGACCAAATTGGCGCTCATCACAAATTTGTTTACCTTCTTTTCCTTGGCTTTATGAGAAAAGAAAACAAGTTTAGCACATATTTAGCAACAACTATCTCCTCTTTGTAGTTCCAAATGCATTATTAAGGATTCATCAATTAAAATGCAAAAATCACTTAAATTTTGCTACACAACATATGTTAGCTTCAGATCTTCTGAATTAATTTCTTAAACTTTCTTATTATTGACCATACACATTATAAGCCAGTGATGGTGAACCTTTTAGAGACTGAGTGCCCAAATTACAACCCAAAACCCACATTTATCACAAAGTGCCAACGTGGCAATTTAACCTGAATACTGAGGTTTTAGTTTAGAAAAAATAACTCATACATTAACATCTTTTGTCTTAAAAGAAAAACACAATAACAGAGCTTTCAATGATACACAACTTTTTACTGAAAGATAAAAGTTTGCATTTGGCATGCTTTTGAACAATTAATGTGATTTTTACTGTTGTATGCATGCTGATAATTTGTTTAATCTTGGCTCACACTTTGTAAGTTTGAGAGCAATGCATGCAGCACTCAGGTCATCTGTTAGTCTGTTTCTGGTGTCAGATTTGATATAATTCAAAGGCACATGGAGCTTGCGGTCCGCCAGATCTCCGTTGGGATAAAAAAATGTTTCAGCACCTATGGAGTGCTTCCAAACGCAGGGATTGGCTACGTTTAGAAGCGCTCTATAGGAGCTAAAAGACTTTATCCCAATGGAGATCTGGCAGAGGCTGCAAGCTCTTTGGCTAAGTTTTCACAGGAAAAAGCCATTTCTCAAGCCCCTTAGCGAAAACATGTCTCCAGAGCGAGCACACCTCACTCTTCTTTAGAGCAATCCTGTGAAAACAAGCCTCCAGATTGAGCATGCTTGTTCAAGGTTTTGCCTAGGAAGGGGCTTGAGGAATGGCTTTTTCCTGTGAAAACCTAGCCAAAGAGCAAGGCTCGCGTGCCCAAAGAGAGGGCTCTGAGTGCCCCCTCTGGTACGTATGCCATAGGTTCCCCACCACTGGTATAAGCTTTCCCTTGCTTTTTCTTCTAGATTACTCTTTTTTCAAGTCCCCTTTCTACATATAATTACAAATCATTAACTTTCTTACAAGCAAAGCATATATATTTATAAAAATATAAACATGGCAGCTATGCCTATCCATGCATGCCACTCATCTCTTATAGTGCAATTTACAAATATAAAGGCAGAATGAGGCTAGTATTCCTTTTAATATACTTTGCAAAGGAGTTGGGAAACAAGCTTTTGCTGGGTTGTGGGTTTGCAATTTCTTCCTCTTAATTAGCATATGGACTGGCCTTGCAGCATTGATAAACATATTTGACTAAAACATTCTAGTTTCAGTTTGACTGTCAATTTTCTAATGAGACACTGATTCTCAGACCAATTTGGATTTTGTTAATATTTTAAGGGTAGATGGAAACAGTATAAAGAATAAAATATATTTGGATGTAAAACTTCTCACAGTTCCTTTTTCAGGAAAAAAAGAGCTAGTTTCTCTGTCCTCAATTAAGTCCAGGAGTCTATACCAAAAGGGAAAAGATCTAATATGGTGCCATTTAGAGTACAGGCAAGAATGTGTGTGTGAATGCCTGTGTACACAACAGGCAACAAAAAAAAAATCTATTCTCTTGATTCATACAATATAGTAAATCACAGCACTTAAAACTCTCTTCATTAAATGCCATGTATTTTGTGTTTGTACAAGTATATGCGTGTGCATGCCTTATAGATTTAAACTCCAGGGCAAACTGTATACACACATATTATATTATATTATTATAATGATAATAATCATATAAAAGGAAAAGGAGATGGAGAAAGAAAATGAAAAGATAAAACCTAGGCACTGTTTCCTAAAGCCTTATCATTTCTTAATAATAGCCAAGTAAGTACCGGTAATCCCCAAGTTATGAGCGTTCACATAACGCTTGTTCAAAATTACGTGATGAGTGTCCCCTAGTGCTTACGAGCAAGTCCCCGAAATTACGAATATTGCAGCACCAGGCAGTCGTTCGCCCTTACAAGTGACCTCAGTGGCTCTGCAACATTCATCCTGGTTATTCCCTCCCTCACTCCCCATCCCCGCCCCGGATCTCCCTAGGCCCCAGGCCTTCAATACTCACCCTGCGAAGATCGAGATCCTTCGCTTTCTTGGCTGCTCCAGGCCTTCGGTGTGTTCACAGAGAATGTAGGCCTAAAGTAACACAAGATTACGCGAGATCAGTGGGGCAAGATCTCACGCTACTGATCTCGTGTGATGTCATGGTACTTTAGGCCTCTATTCTCTGTTACAGAGAATGGAGCTGAAGCTGGGGGGCGCTTCCATGTGCCTCCGGAGGGTGGATCGGGACGTCGGAGGCTTTTGCCAGGCTGTTGCTGCCTGGATCTGAGGCCAGGGAATGCTTCTGCGCCCCCCCTCCACGGCCTGATCCGGGCTCCGGAGGCCTTTTCCAGGCCACTGCCGCACAGAAACGGGCCACCAGAGGGCTACGTAAGCATCCCCTGGTCTCAGATCTGGGCGGCAGCAGCCTGGAAAAGGCCTCTTGAGCCCAGATTGGTCCGTGAGAGGGGGGGCACAGAAGCATTCCATGGTCTCAGTTCCGGGTGGCAGCAGGAATTGCGGCAGAGAAGAGACAGATTTTTTCAAAGTGAATCCAGTGTGGCAGGAAGGGAGCGGAAAGCATGAGGTATCTTAGTGGGTCGGGGAGGCCTTGGGGGCCTGTTCCATCACTAGGCCCTCCATGGCCTTCCCCACCCTGAGACACCTCATGTTCACTTAATGAGCCATGTGTGTTTTAACGAGCAAGGGAGCGATCTCGTTCAAGGTACAAGATTCAGTCTATGAGTTTTCGAGTTACAAGTGAAATGGGCAGGCTCCATTACACTTGTAACTCGAGGACTACCTGTATGAGGGAAATGAGCTACTCAGCACACAGATGACAACACTGCTTCTAGAGTTAAAGATCCTGCTGCTGTTCTTCACTGCTCAGGTGCTTCAATGTCATTTGTGAAAAGAGATTTTCCAATCCAGTTGGTTACAGTTTAAGTTGAGATAGTTGTTCCTTACTGTCTTTTTCACAGGACCATTGTGAGTAGTTCCTCCATCAATCCAGCTACACAGATCAATAGCTACCAGATGGTTCTGTACTAAATAAAGCAAGTTTATAATGGCATTTACATATATCTGCTTTAAGAAGCATAAAATTCTTGCAAGACCAACTGAGAAAAAAATAATGAAACATACAGTGCCTTGTAATAATTTAAAATAGAACTCTCTGTATTATATTTTTTTCAGTTTGATGTAATGGTTATAATGATGACTTAGAAACTAGGGGACTGGCAGTTCTAGGCCTCCCTTAAGCATAAAAGCTGCCTGGCTGACTTTGGGTTAATCACTTTCTCAGCCCAGCCCACCTCAGGTTATTGTTGTGGGGAAATAAAAGGCAGGAATACGGATAGTTCTCAACTTACAACAGTTCACTTAGTGACCATTCAAAGTTACAACAGCACTGAAAAAGTGACTTATGACCATTTTCACACTTATGACCGTTGCAGTAACCCCATGGTCACATGAGCTACATTCAAATATTTGACAACTGACTCACATTTATGAATGTCCCAAGATCATGGATCACCTTTTGCAAATTCTGACAAGCAAAGTCAACCAGGAAGCTGGATTCACTTAACAACCGTGTTACTAGTTTAACAACTGCAGTAATTCACTTAATAAATGTGGCAAGGAAATTCGTAAATGGGGCAAAATTCACTTAACAAATTTCTCACAGCAACATAAATTTTGGACTCAGTTGTGATCATAAGTTAAGGACTACCTGTATTTAGTATGTTCATTGTCTTGAGTTATATATTAAAAATGAAATGATAATAATAAAGTCTAGAATTATAATGGACATAAGAGTACCTGGAGACAAGAGATGAGATAAGAACTGGAGAAGATAACAAAATACAGGACCTGCAAATAGAAGTTGAGTGATTATGGCAAAAAAAGCAAAGATAGTATCAATAGTATTAGGTGGCTTGGGTACAATCCCAAAACAACTGGAGTATCACTTGAATACCATTGGCATTGACAAAATTACTATCAAATCATCTGAAAAAGGCAGTTCACTTGGAACAGTTCACATCCCATGACAATACATCTTTAATACCATTAAACAACATCCGCCTGCTGCAGATTGTTGGAAAGGATGAACTAGGTGGATAAATATGCCGGATCCAGTCTAAATATCTCTGCAGCTAACCATAATATGGAATAGCTGGAGGTCCATAAGTTCTTTGGATGGCATTCACACTTTTACCACCCCATTGTGCATTCTTCTTTTGTTTCCTTAAGACAACCAGCCAAAACTCTATGGTATGACCGTCCACGATATGTATTTCTGGAATTCTGTGTGGAAGACAGCAGGGATGTAAAAGTGGACCTTGATGATTACAAGGTAATATTCAGGTAAGAAAACATTGTCTTCTATTTTAGGAAAGTATGCCTTTAGAATGTGGATTAGTAATGTTTAAGTGATATAAAAGTAGTCCTTGACTTACAAGCACAATTGGCACCAGAAATTCTGTTCTAAGCAAGGCAGTTGTTAAATAGGTTGTGCCTGATTTTGCAACCTTTTTTGTCTGTTGTTAAGTGAATCACTGCAGTTAAGTGAATCAATGGTCAGTAAGCAAATCTGGCTGCCCCCACTGACTTTGTTTATCACCAGCTGGAAAGGTCATAAATAGTGACCACATGATCTGGAATGCTACAATTGTCATTAATACATGCCAAGTGCCCAAATACATGCCAAATTTTGATCTCCGATCTATGACAGTTGTAAGTGCAAGGAATGGTTCTAAGTCACTTTTTCAGTGCTGTTGTAACTTCGAATGGTCACTAATTGAAGGGTTGTAAATCGAGGACTACTTGTAATAGCTGCTTTACTAAGCCAGTTATCTGCAGTAGTATTTGTGAAAAGAGAGTCTTTTAAATGTATTTACTATATGTCTTTCTGCAGCTGTAAGAATACTGATGGCACTGAAATATACAACGAGATTCACTTTTATGCCCGACTAAATTCCAAGGTAAGCAAGTGAATTAAGAGGACCTAGCTCATGGGAGCCCTGGGATGGAAGAGTACATCTGTTTTCCTTTGATATAGATAGTCCTCAATTTACAATCATACTTGGGACTGAAATTTCTATTATAAGTTGGTGTGGTCATAAAGCAAGATGTCATGTGACTGCACCAATTTATGACAGCAAGCCCAACTCTCCCCATTGTGATCATAAATTGAGAATTACAGGTCATTAAGTGAGTACCCACCACACAATCTAAACTATTCTGACCTGGTCCCTCCAGCCCTAAGCCTCAGTAAGTAAAGGGTCTGCCACTAACGCTCCCACTTGCCTCTCTACCCACCTCAATCTCTTTCCTTTTGGCCGCCCTATTCATGGGAGTTATTAATGAGAGACATTTAACAACCCCTATGTAGCAAATACCAGAAATAAATGAAGATGATTACACAAGAAGATTTTTGTTAGGAAGCATACTTTTGGATTAATCATACTTCGTTAACTCTGTGAGACATTTATGTGATGTTGTCAACAAATTATTAGGTTGTAACTCTTCTCAATTTTCTCATACTATAAAGAATCGGTTTTTTAAAGAACAGTGGTATAATACCATAGGTGTGGATGATTTTAGCACTACTATTTCTTTTACGGGATAGATTCAACTGTTCAGTGATGTATTGAATAGAATGAATACATCCTTAAGATTATACCCTTGCATATCTCAACTGTTTCCTTTTGATGAGCTCTATTTTAAGAGTTTATTTTAACCAATATTTTATTTCTGTAGTATTGCTTAAATGAAAATGTGTAAATATGTTTGGTTGTTTTAACCCTTTAGTTGTGTCCAACTCTGTCAAGCACAGCTTCTTTCAATTGTTGGATGTTCAAGTTTGTATCAGATTTGATATTATAAAGCCAGCATGTTCTTTGTTTGTCCCTTCTTCTCCTACTACTAAACCATGATGTGTAGTCCATATCTATTGACACAGAGCAGTGATGATGTTAACTGGCACTGGTCTTAGTAATTCTGCAGGTATTCCATTAATACCCGGGGCTTTCCAATTTCTCCATGGCCCAGTCTACTTCTTCTTTCAAGATGTTTGGTTCTTTATTAATTATGCTGCCATCATTGTCATCTTGATGGTAAGTCAAACTGCTATAGAGTCCTTCCATATATTCTTTCCATTTATTCTTGATATTCTGCTGGTCACTTAGTGCATTCCTGTTGCAATCTTTGCTGTGCTGAAAATTTAGATTGCATTATTTTCACTATGGCAAACATGACCTTAGTATGTCCCTTCCTGTTAGCTTCTTCCAGATACTGATACTCCTTCTCCCACTACTTATTTTTTTATCTTTCCTGGCTTCCCACTGTAAAATTTTATTCAGCTTTTTAACTTCATCCTTATTACCTTTGGCTTTGGTTGTCCTTAGCTGATCAGCTATCTTGATGGTGTCATCCAATAGCAACTTGTTTGTTCTCTTTGGTTTTTGGCGTGACAGATACTTTCCAGTAATTTCCACGATGTTACTTTCGATCTCTCCTCACTGTTCATTTGGATCTTTCCTTTGTAAATTCGGTGACTCAAACCTATTCATAACTTATATGGCATATATAAGTGGCATATATAGGTGAGATGTTGGTCATCTGAATTTTGGAGAGATAATACCTTTTTTCATTTTGCACAGGTTTTCAGTTTAGCCGCTAATAGCTGATGGTCTAAACTACAATCAGCACCAGGAAGTATCTTAACAAATACAACTGAACCTTTTCAGCATTGTTGGCATAAAATGAAGTCTATCTGATTTAGATGTTGTCCATTTGGTGCTGTCCATGTGTATAAATGTTGCTTGTGTAGAATAAACCACATGTTCATGTGGTTGAGATGAGATGATTTGCCTGGCAATTTGCATTAGACGATTGCCAGCTTCATTCCATTCACCTAGCTCAGGGGTAGGCAACCTTGGCTCTTTTATGACTCGTGGACTTCAACTCCCAGAATTCCTGAGCCAGCCAAGCTGGCTCAGGAATTCTGGGAGTTGAAGTCCACGAGTCATAAAAGAGCCAAGGTTGCCTACCCCTGACCTAGCTCAAACTTGCCTACTATTCTTGCAACTCCTCCTTTACCTACCTTTGCATTAAAATCACCCATAATATATAAAAAAAACTTTTTTTTTTGTATTTGTTTGAGAGCACTTTGAAGCTCACCCTATACAAAAGTTGAATTTCATCATCACTTGGGTCTATAGTTGGGGCTTAGATTTGTAGTATAGTGATGTTGAGTGGCTTGTCTCGAATTTGGATAAATATTATCCAATCGCTGTATGCTCTGTGATTCTCAAAACATTTAGCCATTTGTTTGCAACTCCTTTCCGTCTGATATTATTTCCAGAAAACCATAAACCTGTCTGATTTGAATTGACCACTAACTGACCAGTGTAACTCACTGATGCCAAGGATGTCTATGTTCACACTAATCATTTCCCAAGGGACATGCCTCTTGCATTCCAAGTTCCAATTTGATATAACTTTGTACAGCGTAGGCAACCTCTTTCGCCATGGGCACCATCAATTGTTGGGCTTCCCGAAGGCTTTCCTCCACCAACATTATAAAATCCCTGACTGCTAACAGCTCGTCGATGCTGGAAGGTCTGCTGTTGATATCAATATCTGAGTTATATTGAGTTATTGCCATAAAGTATTCTGGTGAGATTTTTTAACAGTTCACCATTGCTTTTTGTAACCCTCCTTGTTTATCCAGGCTTGGGACTGGTATATGGTTGAGGAATCAACCATATGGCTGGACTAACGTATATAAGTGTAAAAAGTGTAAATATAAGCATAGGTTAGAAACAGTACTTTCTGGTCTTTTTCATTTATACTGCTGTGCCTCTTCCCTTCTCTATTTTATATTCAATAGGAGATTCCTTTCCCAATTATTGACAAAAAGCTTGATCTACAAACAACATTTTTTATAGTTTTAAAACATGTTTAAATTATATGAAAGAAAGGATCAAGGATGCTCTCAGGCTTCTTGTTTATTCTAGATCAGACATGTCAAACACAAGGCCCGGGGGCCAGATGCGGCCCACGAAGTGGTTTCATGTGGCCCGCGAAGCCATCCTGGAAACAGTGAGGGAACAGCCCCCGCTGCCTTGGCCCTGGCCCAGGCCAGCCGGGAGCCAATGTACAATTTTGTGGTGGCCATCTTGGCACTTGCCCTGGTGGACCATGCCTTGGCGCTGGCCCTGGTCCCACCCCCTTCTGCCAGAGACTCTCAGATCTGTCCCACTCCTGCCCAGGCCCCCACAGGCACCCTTGATGGGAATGATGTAGAACTGGTCATGCCCATCCAGTAGGCCACACCCATTCCATCCACGCCCACCCAGTAGGCTGCACCCACTCTGGCCACACCCATCTGGCCCCCCAAGGGCAACCGCAGTGCTGATGCGGCCCTCAGTGAAATTGAGTTTGACACCCCTGTTCTAGATGCAGGCAAAGATATCGCCATGACTACTGTGAATGGAGAGAACCTTCTAAAGCAAACAAGAGCAAAAATGTGGCCCTCAAATGTGGATTATATCAATATTTATAGAACTAACTTAGCTTAAATGTATACAACTAATTGCAATTACAAGTTACTTATAGAAGAATTAACTGGTAACACTCAGACTTTTTTCTACTACAATGTAATCCCTTTCAGGATTCCCACAATAAGCGTTCAGGCAGGTCCATCACACTCTTTGCACGCAAGTGGAAGGACAAAGTGCCATGGCCACGTCTCACCAAAGAAGATTTCAAGGTAGGACACCTTTCATCTTTCCTGGTTAATTAGGGAATCAATACACATAGTCCTTGTTTAATAACCACAACTGGGCTTGAGAACACTATTATTAAGTGAAGTGGTCTCTAAATCAGCGGTTCTCAACCTATGGGGTCGCGACCCCATTTGGAGTCGATCGACCATTTCACGGGGGTCGCCAAGCAAGGCTGTCCGCCATTTTTTTCCCCTTTTCCGGCGGGTGCCTTACCTCCCTTGAGCTGGGCCAGCTGGTGGTCGGCCTGCTCCGTCTCTGCCGCTTGCCAGCTACGGCTCGGCCGGCGCAGGGGGCGGAACCACACATGCGCGGCGCTCCCAGGCAGGGAAAGTCCTCGACTTACGACCGGTTGGGTAGTCCTCGACTTACGACCGGTTTAGTCCTCGACTTACGACCGGTTTAGTCCTCGACTTACGACCGGTTTAGTCCTCGACTTACGACCGGTTGGGGGTCGCGGCATTAAAAAGGTTGAGAATCACTGCTCTAAATCAAACCACAACTGTGCTTATGATCTTACTTTAGCTTTCCTTTGCTTTACAGATCTGTAAAAGTTGTAATTGTGAGGACTGGTTACAAATGGTTATGAAAGTGGGCAGTTACTAAACAAAGATTACTTATATTATCAAATCTCAGTATTAAATTTTTGATTTTTAGTCAAAGGGAGCAGTTAACATGACTTAGTTGAGATTTTATACCAGTTGAGTTGTTGGAAGCAAGGTTGGTGATAGGGCAAAATATATTCTAATTAAATACCAATTCTTTTCCTGTTTGATTGAAAAGATGGGAAAATTAGAAGGCCATTGTTTTATTTATCATTTGATTTTTAAATGCCAATTTAAGTATCAATAATAGGAGCAAGGATGGAACATGTTGTAAGAAATTGTTTATCTTATTTGCAGCCAGCATGGCTCTCAGTGGACTTTGATAACTGGAGAGATTGGGAAGGAGATGAAGAAATGGAAGCAGCCATGGTTGAACAATATGCAGAGGTGAGCACAATTATCAGACCAAGGCAGAATTCCAAAACTTACCTGATTCACTCTGAATCAGCAAAGCTGAAGCCTGAGAAAGTAGAAAGTGGCTATTCTGTATCCCAATTATAGTGCTAACTAATTATAGTGCTAACTAATAATGACAATAGGCAATAGGGAACTCATCAAATTTGCAGACAACATCAAATGAAATTCAATGGTGAAAAAAGTAAGGTTCTACATTTAGGCAAGAAAAACCAAATGCACAGGTATAGTATAGGTCAGGGGTCCCCAATCCCCGGTCCGTGGATCAGTACCAGGCCGCAACATGCCAGCAACCGGTCCGCACAAACAAGCAAAGACCCATCCATGGGATGCAGACAGCACACAAAACCGCGCCCCCTCCACGAAACCTGTCCCTGGTAGCCAAAAGGTTGAGGACCTCTGGTATAGGTGGTACCTTGCTCAATAATAGTAACTGTGAGAGGGACCTCGGAGTCCTAGTGGACAATCACTTAAATATGAGCCAGCACAATGCTAGGCTGCATTAACAGAGGGATAGAATCAAGATCACGTGAAGTGTTAACACCACTTTATAACGCCTTGGTAAGGCCACACTTGGAATACTGCATTCGGTTTTGGTCACCACAATGTAAAAAAGATGTTGAGACTCTAGAAAGAGTACAGAGAAGAGTAACAAAGATGATTAGGGAACTGGAAGCTAAAACATATAAGGAACGGTTGCTGGAATTGGATATGTCTAGTTTAATGAAGAGAAGGACTAGGGGTGACATGATAACAGTGTTCCAATATCAATGTCATGGTTCCGACAGACAGAGACGAATAAAGCAGAACTTTGAGACTTGAGAATTCCTCAAAGAACATGATTATTAGTTACAAAGTATCAGCACAGTCAAAAGTGAAACCAAGTCCAAATACACAAGTAACAATTGCCCAATACAAAGCTAAATGTCCTACCCATAAAACTATGCAAGCAACTATGTTTCCCAATATGATTATTTGGCGGGCTTTTTATGCAACACCCAGTCCCTAGTCTCGGGAGCAGCTGATGACCTTGGTTCCCACGGGACAGAAGATTATTTTGACTAACGAAGCACCTGGGCAACCCCCCTCCCTCTGTTCTATATGGCAACCTAGAATGAGAAGAAAAAATGGCTGTAGCCATGCTCATTGTAGAGTTGACAGTCGGCCCCTCTCAAAAAGAAAGAGTCTCCTGTGGGGGAAACAAAAAGCATGTTAAGTATTTCCTCGAGGCGTGTGAGGATATTTATCAGAAAACTTTTTTCTTAAGCTGTCCGCTTTTACATTGGTACAGTTCACCTATGTAGCTTCTGACAGGGGGTAGCCTTTCCAGTATTTTAAATGGGGTGAGCCCAGTGCCACTGTGCACAATATTGTTGTAGGCTACCTCCACGTAATTGGGAGATCAGCCCAATTAGTCTGCTGGTAATTAACATAGCATCTGAGATACTGTTCCGCCATTGTGTTAGCTTTTTCAGCTGCTCCATTTGTACTCAAGATGAAAGACCGACAAAAGCCCCTGAGTCAATGGTTTAACGAACTCCCTCCAGAACTTTGCAGTAAACTGGACTCCCGTCAGAAATAATCTGCTTTGGGGCTCCATGGAGCTGATATATCTGTTTCAAAAACATCTTGGTTAGCTTCTGGGCAGAGGGAAGTCCTGAGCAAGCGATAAAATGCACTTGTTTGGAAAATTACAATCCACATTATTGTGTTTCCCTTGCTCTCAGACAAATCTATTATAAAGTTCATGGCTATTTCCTCCCAAGGCTGAGAAGGGTCAGTCTTTGTTGCAGCAATCCTGGGGGCTTCTCAGGACATTTTTTCTTTTTTCTTTTTAAAGATTTTTATTGATTTTTTTTTCATACATTCAATAAATGTGCTGTCTGAGTTTACATTCACTAATACATATTTAGTTCCTAGTCCTTTATTCATTCCTCTAGCCATCGATAAAATAAGCCCCAAGTTTGATAATATTTCGTTTCTTCTTTTTCTTTCAGCCTCAGAGTCAGTCTATCCATCTCCGCACATTCTAATGTTTTTTAAATTATTTCTTCATCTGATGGTATTTCTTCATTTTTCCAATACTGCACAAATATAATTCTTGCCGCTGTTGTAACATGCAGAATCAAATACATGCTTTGTTTATCAGTCTTTTCTGGCATTATACCTAATAAAAAAAGTTCAGGTTTTAAAATCTACACATTCTCCCAACATCTTTTCTAGCCAGGCATGTATTTTTTTCCAATAACTCTTTGCTTTGCCACATGTCCACCAAACATGGTAATAAGTACTTGTTTGCATTTCCAACATCTATCTGACATGTTTTTAAACATTTTTGCTAATCTTGCTGGTGGCAAGTGCCATCTATAAAACATTTTATATAAATTTTCTTTGTCAGTTTATAATTTCTTTCCCATAAATTTTGCCATTTTTCTAATTCTATATTGTATCCAAATTTTTTTGCCCATCTTATCATTGTTTCTTTAACTTGTTCACTTTCCAGTTTCAAATTTAATAGAAAATTATAAATTTTCTTAATTAGTTTCTCGTCAGAAGTTAATAATATCTTATCAAACAAAGTTTGCTTCTTGTAAAATCCATACAGTTTAATCTAACCTGCATTTGTAAATGTGCCCACCATGATAGATTGATACCTTGATTTTCCATTTCTTGTTTAGATTTTAAATTTCCTTCAGCATTTAAAATATCTCTGTATGTCTGGATTTTTTCAAAATTAACTAAATTTGGGTGAATGAATGCTTCCATTGTTGAAAGCCATCCTGAAACTTTCAGATATATTTTACATTTTATTTTTCCCCATATTGTTAATAATGCATTTCTTATATAGTGGTTTTGAAAGTACTTATGAATTTTATTTTTCCCATACCATAAGAAGCCAATTGTAAATCATGTCCCTCCAAATATAACAACCTTTTGTTTCTAAGAATTATCCATTCTTTTACCCATGTTAATACAGATGCTTGATAATATAAAACCCACTCCAGTAAACCAAAACCTCCATTTTCCTTGGCATCTTGTAACATTTTCATCTTGATTCTGGCTTTCATTCCTTGCCAAATAAATTTCAAAATTAATGAATTTAAATCTTCAAAGAATTTTTTCTCAAGTTTTATAGGTATTGTTTGGAATAGAAATAAAATTTTTGGTAATATATTCATTTTCACTGTAGCAATTCTTCCTATTATTGACAATTGCAAGTTTTTCCATTTTTCCAAATCCATTCCTATTTGGTTCAATAATTTTGTATAATTATCTTCTTTTATTGTTGAACATCTTGCTGTTAAGTATATTCCCAGGTATTTAACCTTTTTAACTATTTGTAGTTCTATTTTTTCTGACATTAGGGTTTTTTTTTGTTTTATCTGACAATTTTTTAACTATTGCTTTAGCTTTTTTCTCTGTTTATTTTCAGTCCTGCTATTTTTCCATACTGTTCTATCTTTCCCAGTAGTTTAGGAATCATCTCCAAAGGTTTTTCTAAAATAAATACCAAGTCATCTGCAAATGCTTGTAATTTGTATGTTTCACTTTTTATTTCTAGTCCTTTAATTTCTTGTCTAATATTTTTTTTTTCAAACAAATTTTATTGGTTTTTTAATTTTTACATCAGAGTGCTCAGGAAAACACCGTGGTGAAGGGAAAATCAGTCATCCAAAAACAAAGTCATACATATATAACTGAAGTTAGTACATTAAAAATTTCCCTCTCTATTTCCCTCACATGATATAAGGAATTTAGTTTAATCTATTTCTTCATAAAATTCAGTCAGTCCAAACAATCATCATCCTGCTTTAAGCTTCACTAATTTCGATTAACATATTCAAATTCATCTTAAGTAAACATATTATTAAGACTTCGGGTATCCCTTCTACAACATACATAGTATTCCAACAATAACATTCTAGTATTTTCACATATATTCCATTTCTTAATTTAATAGATCATTGGTTAATACCCTTACTTCTCTTATTGTAAATCTCTCTAGTTCTTCTTCTGTTACAAAGTAATTTTCTATATAAGCAGAATAAAAAATAAAGAAACATTTCAGCCCGTTAAATAAAATTTAAATCTCAACCAAAATAGTTATCATGTCTAAGACAAACATATCATTACACAAATTATCATCTTACTAATTTCACATACTCAGTTAATTGTCAAATCAGTCCGAATCTCTAAAGCCTTTTTGACCCAATAAGTGAGAGTTTAAATCACATTTTTAAATCTAACTCTGGCTTTTTTTCTGTGCTAAGCTGGTGTCCATGATGCCGCATCTATGTCATCAAATCTCCATATTTGAGTACTGGTATTTATCAACAAATAGTTCTGGTCAAAGTTTTCCTCCCCATCTTCCAATATCATGTAGGTAATATAGTCAATTTTGTTCCATATTATGATTATAGCTTGATTATCCAAGTTGTCATAACTTTCAATAGATTGCATCTGGAAGTCAGTTCCTATTGGTTTTAAAAGTAAGAGTGTTTCAGTTGAAGTCATTCTTTGATCTTCAGAGTTCTCCATAGTTTGTACATAAACTTGTGAGATATCCTCTTCTGTAGTAATTAGTTGACTTGTAGAGTGATCAATTAAAGTCTTAGTCTGGGATTTTGGGTCCAAAGTTTTTCTAAAATTCAATTGGTCAGTAGGTTCTTTTTCCATCTCATTAAATTGTGTACGCTGTTGCATATCAGCTTCTTCTTGGCCTATAGGTTGATCTTTTAAATTTTGAGGTTCAGCTTGTGGTTCTGCAAAATAATCTTTAATTTTTCTCCATGATTTCATATACTCTGTAGCTTCCAATATTTTTTCCAGTATAAGCTCATAATCAAGCTGTGGGTAAGATTCTTCCATTTCCATAGTAAAATAGTCTTTTAGTCTTTTAGTGAAAGCTATATTACAATTGCAGTAACACTTTTTGCCACAAGATGTCCTCAGTGACCTTAGAAACTTTTTTC